GGAAGGGGGAAAGGGGGGAGGGAAACGGGGAAGGGGGGGGAGGGAAAGGGTGAAGTGGGTGGGTGACGAGGAGGTGGTGGTAAAGGAGGAGTGAAAGTTAGCCCGATATCAGATGGGTAATTACTAATTAGTAATTACTAATTACTAATTAGTTATTAGTACTTATTACTAGTTATTGGTTAAGGACCTGGCTTTGGCATAATCTTCATCTTTCGAGTTTCAAGTTTCAACATAATTAATTTCCCCTTCGGTCTTTTGTTTTGGTTTCTTCATAGTTCTTTTCTGGGGTTTTGAAATTGAAACTGTCGACTTCATCTGTCTTCTTTAGGAAATTTAGTATTTCAGATTTCTAGTATTTCATGCGAAGGAGGATTCTCTCTCTCTCTCTCTCTCTCTCTCTCTCTCTCTCTCTCTCTGTCTCTCTCTCTGTCTCTCTCTCTGTCTCTCTCTCTGTCTCTCTCTCTGTCTCTCTCTGTCTCTCTCTGTCTCTCTCTCTCTGATGGTGATGATGATGAACATGATGATTATGTGTGTGTGTGTGTGTGATCACTCATTCTCACTCCTCTCTTCAACTCCAGTGCTCGCCAAAAAAGAAATATGTTTCTCTTTTTGAGGGTGTTCAGCCAAAAAAAAAAGCAATTACGAGGGTCGCATCTGCTATTGCGGCTTAACCGTTTAAGAGTTCGACAATAAGGGTGGTGTTATTACTGAGTAGAAGTCTACTCCGTCTAGCAGCAGCATTTGACACCCCACGAGGGACCATCCTGCTATCCTTTCTGCAGAGCAGCATTGGCGTGAAGGAAGATGGCGTTGTGACGGCGGAAATTTGGTCGCGACTGCTTGGCGTCGAGGTTGGAGAGTCTCAAGGAACAGCAAAGCCGTCAGAAGATACGGTGACGGAGAACGTATCGCGCTCGAGCTTGAGTGCAGCTCCGGTGTCCCGCACAGAAGTCGACCGATCTGCTGCGCAAACAGAGCTCGTGGGAAAAGTAGAACAGGTGGTGGAAGAGAGAAGGGTGTATTTGTTGGGTGAAGGACGGTGGGAGCAGCCATCTCGCATCCGGAAGAACACTGAACCCAACACTTCCAGTTCCAGTTCCAGGTTCAGTTCCAGTTCCAGTTCCAGTACCAATTCCACTGAAGGGAAGAAGGAATTGCAGAAATGTTATGCGTGCCGCGGCGAGGGCTTGATGTTATGCTCAGGTGAGTCAGCAGAGGATTGACCAATAAACAGAGGGGTAAAAAAAAGAAAAAAAAAAAAAAAGAAAAAGGAATGATCAATCACATCATTGCAAGGAACATGAACATGGACGATGCACAGAAATCCAGAATGCAAAATCACACTGAAGTCCAAGTATTCAAAGCCAAAGCAGATAGCACATGGAACCGAGTAACCATCCAATTGAGAATGATACAGAAGAATCGTGAGTCAATGTCCATGCCCAACAGGGCAACACCAACAGCATAACCCAAATGTAGCTCTCTCTTGTGAATGGCGCCAGGCGCCCTATCTACTCTACAGCCTATCCTACAACTACAGCTATGAAAAGCAACCAGACAACTTGACTACCAGCGAGTGATGATGTCAATACCAATGCCGACCTCCACCTTCACCAGGTACGTGTCCTCTTCCCCACACTCTCCCTTGTTACCCACACAGCGCCCTTCACCTCCGAAGACCACCTTCGCCCTTCACCCTCACTGCACCCTCATGCGGCCCGGCTATGGCCGCCAGTGCCTTGCATGCAGGCAGCGCCCTACCGCCTAGCACTTGCCTGCTTCACCTCAGCGCAGCGCTGCTCATGCATAGCGCAGCACACTTGCATCCGCGCAGCGTGCCCGCAATGCCAGCATTGGCCAAGATCCCAGCCCACTCGCCCTGCTTGCCTATATGCCAGTGTTGCGTGTGGGCGGCCTCCCTTCAGCCTGCGACTGGGGCCCAGTCGCTGAACCCAGGCCCGATACAGTTGAGGCCCGGGGGATGCAGTTGCACCTCTTTCGTCAAGGCCTGCGGCCAGATTCAGATAGTGGGCCGATTTCCCTTTGGCATTTTCGGCCTCTATACCCAGCATGCATTGTCGGCCTCACGTTTAAGTACCCAGGGCCTAACTAACTCAGAGGCCCTGGGTTTTCAGCATTTGCTGAAATCCGAGACTCGGTGCACTCCAACCAACTGGCGTGCTGCAACTGTATGGACCCCACTTCGTGAAATGTTGGCACAGAGGGCTCTTGTTGATTTTGCTGGCCCGCCTTCACTTAGGGCGGGCACGAGGCTTGCTGGGGCCTTAGCCCAGAACATGTACATCATGGCAAGGCCCCTTCTTGAGGGCTCAATCCTCACATCATGCTGAGTCAGCAGAAAATCAACCAATCAAATATAAAGCTGAGGCAGCAGAAGACCAAGTTTGATTGAGTAACGAGACACAGCTGGCTTTCTCAACGGTAATCACAGTATTTTTTTTTTTTTTTTTTTTTGAAAGGATGCGATTTCGCAGGATGGTAGATAGGGACAGTGTGGGAATCTTGGTAATCTATTTCATGCGCGTCACGCCGTCACCGCCGCTTTTTTTTTGTCGAAAACGGAAAAGATTGCCATTTACAAGTCCCAACACGAATTGGAATTTAGAATTTAGATGGAAAAAAAAGAACAAAATAAAGAAACATTGGAGTATGGAAGTGGCCAGCACCCGCCCGCCTCTTCCCTGTGCCGCTGATTGCATGCAAAGGGAGGGTTCTATCATTTTGAGCTAGTGGCCCGGGGTCGTGAATTGAGGGTCACATCCGAATTGGATGGTTACTCGCCCGTCGTTTGTTCAAAAGGGCAATAGAATTGTAATGCAAACGACGTGGACAGAATCGAAGATAAAAAAAGAAAACAACAACATCAGAGTAAGGCACCCCTCTTTAAAGTTTAAACTTTAAACCTAGGCTACCAGAGTAGCCC